AACTGCTAAACAAAATAGACACGTACCAACTTTTCGAATGTAAGACAATTTAATTACAATTTGTTTTTCATGCACCGCATATTGTTTAACATTTTCAAATTAAATGCTAAGCATCCTCCTTGCAGTGCCCCATTTGAAAATAACTTCTATCGCCGTAATCACATATGTTTAGGACATGTTTTTATCTTTTTTCTTGAGTTTTAAAGAAATTAACAAATCATCAAGACTTCTTCCATAAAAAATTAAATATAATCATGGTAATAAACGCATCTATCCACAGCAGATATATGCACATGCCAACCACGTGCTCAGTGGAGTGATATTATCGAGGAAACTCGAGCTGTAAACAGAACAGTTTTTCCCGATTTGCTGGAGTGGGGTTAAAATCGCTTTTTTTTCATTAATCAGACGATGCAATGCAACAAATAAAAGTAGTAAGTAATGTAACCTAATGATTATTACTTAGTAATTCCTTGTCTTGATGTTGTTATGATCGCATTTATTCTAGAACCAATGCCATTCGAACTCTGTGTGACAGAGGAATGGCGGACGAAATAAACACATGGCCTCAGGAAGACACCCATATGAAAAATCAAATTTTCAAGAATTATGGATAATGACAAGAAAAAAACTAAACAAATGCTTGTAGCCATATTATCAATGAATCAAACTAACACAATATTCAATGCATTTTTCATCTCGTGAATGCTGTAGCTGCGCAGTTCTAACATGATTAATTTCCTCCTAATTAAAACAAAATAAACTTAATTATTAACTGATTTTGGTCTCTAACAGTAGGTAATTAGTGCATTAGCACTTTGAGTAACTTTAGGCTAGTTTAGTAAAGTATTAAGCGCATTCTTGGTATATCTTATTTTACACCAGACTAGATCCAATATGGCTTGTACATCCCCCTTAAATTATTTTTTTTTGTCAGATGGTAGGTAGGGAGAGGTTTATTTTGATGAAATGATGTTACAGTAAGTATTTAATTTTAAATTCATACAGAATTAATGTGTTGCAAGTTAGTTTTATTAATCTGAATATTTCTCTTATATATGGTTTTGAATAATACTTAATATTGCTACTTTTAAAATTATTAGATCGTACATTAAAGAAGAGCTAGGTGTCAATTTTTGTTTTGTTTTGAAGTCTGAGCTGATGCCGTCATTTAGAATAAGGTTTTCTTTGAATATACTTTAAATTCTTGATTAAAATTATGTAATAATTATATTTGATTTAAAATGATAGAATACATTCATTTGATTGTAATAAGACAGTAATTTTCATCTTTCGAAAACGTTTTTCAAAAGTGTCATGGTAGCATGTTTTTATATTAGACATCAGTCTTTTAAGAAAGATAAAAGTATGGAGTATATTTGATCGAAATTAAACAATTTAAAAGATTTTTTTCCTTTTCAAGCATTTTTAATTTGTTGACAGCATTTATTGTTTGTAAACTGCATTATGAAGCTGATGAAAATAATCTTTGTTGTTTTATCAGGTGTTCTGCATACGTATAATTGTTTTATTTATGGAGAAGATGCAATTTGTTCACTGAAAAAAATAAAGGTAGTTACCTGATTTGTAGTTTGTATTCATTGATATAAAATGTTTTATTACGAAACAGCGAGATTTGGAAGAAATGTCAGTCTTTTCATTTGTAAATTATTAATCGTATTTTTTGCTCATGAAAGTGGAAAGTTTTTGGACATTTTGATCATTCAAACAGATATTTGACAGCATGAAGATGAATCTTTTTATTAAGGATACACCAAAGTTTTTTTTTGTTCAAGATTTTTGTCAATTTTGAGATTTTTGGCTGAGAAAACAATGCTAATTACTGCTTTATATTGCATGAAAAATTCTTGCTGATTATTAAATGGTTTTCTAATATTTAACAATAATCATACATAAACACTAACACATGTGAATGTTATTGAAACTTCTGATTTGGTCTGTCACTGCTGCTTCTGAAAGAAGCAATAAATCATTGGACCACTTGAGGAATTCTTCACTAGCCACACAGAGGTTATCAGTAATTAAACTACAGGGACTCTCGATTTAGGGAAGGAGATCTAAAAGATCACTAATGACCATAAAATAGGAGGTGGAGCTTAGCTCTTGCCATCATGCCAGGAAATCTTTCTGATTCAGAATTGAACCTATTTTACTTCATTAAAAGCACCTAAATAAAGAGTAGAACCTCCCATTCTTGTGAATACGCATAGGAAATATGGATAAGTAACAGGTATCCAAAGCTGAATACATGTATCCAAGTTGTCATATATTTCTAGCTTTGGCAGACTTTGTTGTGTAATGGGTTTTTGCCCTCTTCTGTAAAGTAAAATCAGACAGTTGGTGGTATAATTTCAAAGGATTCAGCTCCCTTATATATTGGCCAATTTCTCTGAAAACTGGCCAGAATACGTCTCAAATGTCTGTTCACAAAACCGTATCTCGGATTTTTGAAAGTTTGCTCAGTTCTATATTTATTGGGGAAATGTAGAATTGTGTTAATAAATTGGTAACATTTAAAGACAAATGGATGTAATTTTTGAAAAAGAAGATTCTCGGGTAGAGTACATGTGTCGATTCAAATTTGTTCAAATCATGACCCCCAGGGGTATAGTGAGGCCACTATGGATGGTTAGGGTTTTACATTGTAATACATAGGAAAAAATGTTAAAATTTTTCACAAGAACAACAAAGCCATGATTAATCATCAATATAATAACATTAAAAAAGTGATGTAGATTTAAATTTGTTGAAATTATGACCAACCAGGATCATAGTTATTCAAAGGAATATAAAGGCTATATCAATCAAATTTTCATCTTATAAACAGCAAGGCACTATATGTATTGCATTATATTAATTTAAAAGCATCCATAGGAAGTATAGATTTAAGTTTGTTCAAATATCCCATTCCCCTATTCCCTGAGCCCAGTTTTATATTTAAACTTCTAATGCTGAACTGAACTGAATTTTGTTTTTTTTTATCTAGCCAGTTGCTCTGGTGAGCAATGTGGCCCCTGGGCCTCTTGTTTTTATGTTGTTTCTAAGGGTCTTACTTGTAAGGTCACAATTTAGTGACATTATCTGCCAAGAATTCAAAAAGGTGTCAAAACTGTTTTAATCCCTGTAAAAACTTGCAATACATTAGAACCAGTGCAAGAAATGCTAGATATATTTTCAAAATTTAACATGTTTAATACAGTGACAAATTAATACACCTAGTTTTTATTGTGATTTGTTTAGGTACACTTGTTTGTTGACTGTGTATATCATATAACTTATAAATATCTCGGTTTAAAGTCCAAATCACTTCACAGTGTATAATTACCTTATCGCTGCTTCAAATCTAGGTCAAAGCTAGAAGATATTCAACAAACATGGCAGCCAGTAAACCAAAATATCCACTGGGCTCTCCTCAAGAGCATATTGAAATGTGTAAAACCCACGATTTACCTATTGATGTTATATGTGAGGACTGTGATGAATTTATTTGTGGTAAATGTGCTAAAACAAATCATAAGGAACATGAATGGAGCACTATATCCACGGCAGCCAGCCAAAAGAGGAGAAATCTACTTAAATTACTAAAGAAGATCAAGGAAGAGAATCTGCCTGGGATTGAAGAAAATCTGGAGGAAGTGTCAAAAAAGATCACAGGAAATAAAGAACTGTGTGACACTGAGATTAAAAAGCTTCAGAAGCATGTTGATGAGATAATGGCCAGGTTGACGGAAATCAGGAAAAATAATGAACGAAAATTAACAGAGGATGTGGAGGAAAAAAATAAAAAGTTGAACAGTGTGAAATCTGAGCTAAACAAAAAGAAGAAAGAAATAGAAGAGATGGTAAAGTTTATGGAGGACAACAACAGCACCATGTCAGATTACGGCTTCCTTGACAACCACATGGAACTGTCAAAAAAGCTGTCTGGTCAGGATGTTAATTTTAACAACTTTAATTATTCATTGAGATACGTTAAAGGAAAAATCAGTGATGAGATGATGGAGAATATGATAGGAAAAACTCACGATTTAAACAATATCAGTTTGACTGAAACAAACTCTTTTAAATATGGAGATAAAGTAATAGTTGTATTGAGTGCATTGTGTGAAGATCAGTGTTACATAGGAGATACAGAGTCACATTACATTGCACAAGTAAACAAAGATGGTGAGAAAAAAGATGAATGTAATATTGTTCCTAGTGACATGTGTGTGGCTGATACTGGTGATGTTTATTTCACTGACGTTAGTTACAGTTCCATCAACTGTCTGTCACCATCAGGATCTGTCTCCACAGTCGTCAGTCTATATCCACTGGTACCTGTAGGAATCTGTCAGTCGGTGGACGATGGACTACTGGTCACCTTGAGAGACATTGTTTCAGATCATTACAAATTAGACTCACACAGCAGACGTCAGGTTAGACACATCACAGTGACGGGTGATGTCATCCGTGAGTATGAGTACAAGGAGGACGGTCACACCAGAATGTTTACAAATCCAAACAGAGTCAAACAGAACAGTAATAGTGATATCTGTGTTGTTAACTTTACAAGTAACACTTCAGGTGAACTAGTGATTATTTCTCCCTCTGGTCGTATGAAGTCTATCTACCGTGGACAGAACCTGACAGGGGACTTTAATCCAGGTGATGCAGTGTGTGACACTCTCTGTAACATCCTTGTTACTGACTTTAACAACAACCACATCCATCTCCTGAGTCCTGACGGGGAGTTCCTGAAGTTCTTAATTACAGAGAATGAAATGAATGGTCCAGTCAGATTATCACTATATAAGTCTACACTGTGGGTGGGATACTATGATGGACTTGTCAAAGTGTTTCAATACACAGTGTAATTTACTTGAATTTTCATTAATCATCCTATGAAATCGTAATAGATGCCATATAACATCAATGGATTCAATCACTAAAATTTGTGTATATTCTCATGTGTGGATTCTACATATTTGCTGTCAATTCTTACTATATTAACAATGTATTATCTAATAATATAACTATATATTTCAACTATATATAACTATAAATTTCATCTGTGTTTATTATTGTTACTAAAACTTAAAAAAATACTCTGTTAATTGTAATTTTTGATTCCTTCCTGTAGATTTATAAAAACCCTATGATAATTTACTATACATATACTAGTAGTTTCCAGCATTGTACTCCAGTCATACTCAATGTGAGATTCCTAATTATGAAGTTTCTGAAGGTGATTAAGGGGATGAAGGACACATAGTCATATACTGTATGGCTCAGTTTAATTACTCCAAAGTCTCTGATAATACATGTACAAAACCTGAATGAAACCACAGTACGTGAATAATATTTTGACAGTTTGTTTAACTTTCCATCTTGTATAAAAATATTTCAATTTTTTTTATATTCCTTGTAAATATTATAATTCAATATATTGATCCACTATTCTGTTTCCCTACACTGTGTCATAGTCGGTCTCTCAGGGGGAATATATTTAAGAGTTTTTTTTAGCTAACCTGAGCCAAAGGTTCAAGCGAGCTTTCCTGATCACATTTTGTCCGTCGTCTGTCGAGCTGTCTCTTTGTCTGTAAACTTTTAACATTTTCAACTTCTTCTCAAGAACCACTGGACCAATTTCTACCAAACTTGCCACGAAGTATCCTTAGGTGAAGGGGGTTCAAGGTTTTTTGTAAATGAGGGGCCACACCCTATTAGAAGGGGAGATAATTAAAAATTAGTGAAAATTAATGGCATCTTTAAAAAATCTTCTAAAGTACAACTGGACCAATTTCAACCGAGCCTGCCACAAAGTATCCTTGGGTGAAGAGAATTGAATTCAAATTAATTAAAATGAAGGGCCATACACCCTATTCCAAGGGGAGATAATTAAAAATAAGTGAAATGAACAAACTTGAATCTACACTACATGAAAATGTTTCCACATAAGTAACATCTTTCCTTGGCCAGTGGTTCTTGAGAAGACTTTTTAAAGATTTTTTTAATTTTCAGCTGACTTAAGGAACGGTCTGAATAAACTCAAGCTTTATGACTAATTATTTGGTTGATAATGGACATGAAATAAAGAAAGTATTTTTGCATACAGTCAATTTTTGTGGATGAAACTGCTAATAGCAGGTAAAAAGTACTTCAATGCAAGTCTTTCATTTTACCATATAAGCAGAAGTTTTAGCCAGGATTAAATATTGGCATATTAGCGAGAGTGCTGAGATCGACACTAAAATTGAATATTGCTAAAAATAATTGCGTTTTATTTGTAATAGTTTCTTAAATGAGCATTTTAAAATAGATTTTAAAATTAAATCGCACTAAAAATGTAATATCAATTATTAAGACTGCTAAAATAAATTTGCGTCTTCCTTAAATTTCCACTGATACAGTATATCTGTGTTGATTTAGTGACAGAAGATTTTCCTGACTGTCTTTACCAGTCCTGTAAGAAAATTTAAGAAAACTATATCAAGGTAAAAAGTGATTTGAAAAAAAATTCAGAGGATGAAAATAAGGCAAAATTTTATGCATAATTTATGCATGATTTTGATTACCGGTACAAGAATCTGTAGCACAAACATATGTTGGGAACATATCCATATGCATGATTCCAGAATAATATATGGTATCTTCTTAATGTAAGCAGTGGGTAGTTGCATGAAAACTAGTTTTAAATTCCCCATACTTAAATTTTCTACAATTTTCAGAACAATTATTACTTCCACGGTTGAAATTTGTCTGTTTCATTTGAACACATCTAAAAATTACTTCCCTACAGATCCAGACGAAGGGGAGTCCATTTCATGTCCAGGCCAGTAAGGTGTTAGCTCATATCTTCACAATGAGCCTTCACTGGTCCGGCAGGTATGTTGTGTCTCCGTGTGTATTTATAATAAACAATATTTGAAATCTGGCATTGGTAAAATTTTATAGTATAATCTTTTATTGATATCTGATTAGTAGTTTTTGTAGGTCTACATACATGTATTAATTTTTATGGTATTTAATTTTAATGACTTGAGATTTGAATACATTTTGGACAGCAACCAAATTCAAGAGATGATGTAATCAGCTTTGGAGAAGTGAATAATATTCAACAAAACAGTAAATCTCCCATGCAGAGTTTTTTTCCTCTCTCAACACCTCTGCAATGGGCTATTCTTTTGGACATAACATATAAAACGTAATATTTGCAGGTTTATTTCAAATTAAATTAATAATTCTAGATTTATTTAGTAAATACCTATCTCAAATCTCAGACATAAACATAGAAATTGAATTATAATGAATTAAAACAAACGCACTATTTCTCGTGTTTATCACTATGATATATCCACCAGTTCAATTTTTTCTTATATACTTTGATTTTGAATAAAAAAAAAACATTTTTATCATATATATAAGATTTTTTTTCAACAGAATATGAAATTTTAATTTTTGAATTACATTTTGATTCAATTTGTAAGTTTAGATAAAACTTTAAATTGCAGTATAATTTCAAATCAATCTCTTTTTAATAGAATATTATAGGTAAAAATTCATAAGCCATTTGAATAGTCTAGATTCAATAAACGGAACGTTATCAGAAAATATTTTGTTTTGTTTTTCAGGCTGGAACAGGACAGATTACAGGAGCTTTACATCGAATGTTTCCATATTGTGTGGTGCATTGTGGAATCTCATATTTATCGTCTCTATCCTGAACAAAAAGTTCGGCTGCAGAGAGAGTGTAGAAATAAGATCCCTAGTGACAAAGGTTGAAAGGTATGTAGAGGAGGGTTTTTAATATTTCCTTTTATACAGCAACATTAGGGGCTCTCAGTAATCTGAACACAAAAGAGTTCCAATTGTATGATATATTTTGCAGTAATAAAATGATCTTATCCTTTGATCTTAAATTAACCCCCCCCCCTCCCTCCAAAACCCACTTTACAAGACACAGTGTATAGTGTGTCCTTAAAAACAGGTTATGTTTTATTCTTGTTTATCTCTCAGCTGTTCAGATGGTAGTCCTTTGACTTCAGACTTGTAGGAGCATGGTAATGACCTCCACATTTCGAGGTTTTAAGACTTCTGTGATTGCTGAAATTTAGGATACTTTTGTTCAAATAAGAAATAAAATCAAACATAATTTGACAATTTCTTCCTGTGGGCTAGTCAAATATAGTGGTACATTTATTTCAGATTGGTGCGGTCAAAGTTGCTGGATCTGTACATAGAGAAGTTTGTGGTATCACCCACAGCAAAGAAAGAGGAAGTTCACTCGTGTACTCAGACCAGGACTCTGACAATGGTAGACAAGGGGGTACAGACAGACATGATCAAAATCACAGGTGAGGCAAAGAAGATGTAGATAAAACAGGGACAAAGGGATACCTTCTGATTCTGGGAAAATTTTAAATATTTTTAGAGCTCACCTAAAAAAAAGTCGAGATAACTTATGCAATAACCAAGCCTTGTACGAATCTGTCGCTGCTGTTGGCAAGGCCGGTAATAATTTGTCTGCAGTATAACTTGGCACACAAGTGGGCTATATTGAGATACATAATTCTGTGTAACAGTTTGATTTCAATGAATGGTGTTGTCATGATAATTAAAACTAGAAAATTCTTTGAAATATTTTCAAAATGATACTCTTCCTATAGTTTTGGTCTGATTTCAATAGTTTCAAATTCAAATGCTAGAGTCTCGTCAAAGACTTGTGGTTATAATCATACTTTTATATCTATTACATTTATTTTTTTTATTTCACCCTTTTAGAAAAACGATCACAGGCAGAATCTCCCTCTACAGTTGCACCAGCATCTGAACCATGGAAAAAATCCAAAACAAAAACGCTGACAAATAACACAAAAGCCACCACTGTAGAGTCAAAGAAAGACATTGAGTGGCCAAAGTTGTCAGGTCCGAAAGTGCCTGATTGGACCAATCGGTTGCTGGACAGTCCGAAACTTCCAGACTGGAGCAGCCCAGAAAGAAGTAGCAGTAGTGTCCGAAAGACTCCAGAGTCGCTGACAAGTGGATTGTATTTTTCTGCAGAGGATAAATCATTTCCGAGTTCACCGGACATCAGACAATCTTCATTTCTTAATTCTCCAGACAATCTCAGAAAGCGAAATTTGAATCAGTTGAGGAGCCCTAAAGAGACCCCAGTAGTGTCGGAACCCACGCAGAACTTTACAAACTGGTCAGACAATATGGTGTTTGGATCTAAATCAAACTTTCTGTCCAGTGATCATACAATAAAAAAATCGGAAGATGAAAGAAAAAGCAAACTGTTGAAGAACAAACTTTGTGCTTTGGTAGAGCCTAAATCAAATCCCACAGGACTGAAAGCTCAGAGTTCCACATTCCAGCAAAATAATGGCTCTAAAACGGAAAATCAACAGATTAGGCAGTCGGGAGGAAAGGAAGTGTCTTACTCTAGCAATAGGAAAACGAAGGATCTGAAAGAGGAGCAGAAATCTAGAGACCCAGAGCCAGTGTCTTGGTGGGATTCAACACGAAGCTTAACGAGATCAAATTTAAAATCTCCTTCTGTTGGCTCAGAAGAGGATTCAAGTGGCAGTGAAAAAAGATCTTTGGGCAGAGGGAGGGGAAGGCGTGTTAAAAAAGGGCTTCCTGCACCCTCAAATTCATCTTCTCTTGTGCAGAAATCAGACTTTGGAGATGAGAAATCTGAAAATCTTTATAAGTCTCAGAAGAGGGTCAATCCTTTTTGATCCACCAGAGATAAAAATCCATTGCGCTTCCAAAATCAGAATGCTAATTGCAATAAAGGTAGTGGTGCTAGTGGTGGGAAATCCCCACAAAAAGTGATGGACTGGTTCTCTATGGAGGAGGTAGAAACTGGTGATCAGCCCTCAGAAACAGGCAGCAGGAATGAGGATGACGTTCCAGATGACTGGTTTCTGGCGAGCGAGGACGAAAAAAATGCCAAATATTCCCAAAACAGCGATATGCAAGCTTTACAGAGTCAAGCAAGTGACATTT